CACAAGCAGCGCTCTGCGGGGATAAAGGAGCTGAGGACAGCAGCCCCCCCCCCCGCAGAGGGACAGGTCACCCTCGCAAGGCAGCCATGTCCTCCCTTCACCGCTTTCAGAGAGTGGCTAACGCTAAGACAGGGTTTGAGCTGCCTGCGCCCATCTGGCACAGGACAGCCACTGCTGAGGCGCATCAGGATGGCGGACAGGAACTGCTGCCTGCATCAAAGGTTTTCTACGCATTTCTCAAGCTGAGTCTGAGCGCAGAGGGACAGGTCACCCTCGCAAGGCAGCCATGTCCTCCCTTCACCGCTTTCAGAGAGTGGCTAACGCTAAGACAGGGTTTGAGCTGCCTGCGCCCATCTGGCACAGGACAGCCACTGCTGAGGCGCATCAGGATGGCGGACAGGAACTGCTGCCTGCATCAAAGGTTTTCTACGCATTTCTCAAGCTGAGTCTGAGAGAGCGTTAGAAAGTGAGTTTTCTACTTACCCAGCTCGCCACCTGGGAGAGAAAGGTTACAGGGGAGGCGCAGCACAGCGGGATACTCACCGATGAGGAGCGACTAAAGGACCGGCTGCGGCGCCGTCTCCGCCTGTGCTTACGCCGGCTGCTTTTGCAGCTCCGGTAGCTGCCCTCACGGTCCCGGGAGCGTCGGTACTCGTAAGAATGACGATACTCAGGATCATAGTAGGCTTCCCCTCGCTCACGGCTGTAATCGTTCCGCCGGTAGCTATCACAGTAACGCCGGTCATAGGCCCTCCTGTCTGCCGAGTGGTCGTCGTAACTAGGGAAGGGGAGCAACCAAGGGGATTTGATTATGAATACAGCTGGGAAGCTGCAGCTCAGAGCGCAAAAACCTGGCAAGCACAGGTCAGGCTCTGCTGAACTGGGTAAAAACGAAGAGCTGGGTGGCTCTGGCAAATCTATAGGAGCACGAACTGAAAAGGAGTGCTCGCACACTCTTCCAGGTGCCAACTGCCTCTGCGCTTTCACCAGGTCACCTGCAGCAACACTGACTGGCCCGGTGCCTCCGGAACAGGGCGCAGGCCACCCAGCTACCAGAAGCTGAGCTGCTCACAGCTGCTTCCAGCCGAATCAGAGAAACACAGCACAGCCCACGCTCCTCGCTCGTCTCTGCAGACTCACCTCCTGGACCGAACGTGGTAACTGTCTTCCCGACGGTGCCGACGATCACGCTCGCTGCTGCTCGATCGGGACCGCGTCCGCCGTCTCTTGTGTTTGCGACTTCTGTAACGCTCATGATAGCTGCCCCGGCTGCTGCGCTCCGACGACCGGTACCTTCTAGAATGAGGCATCTGCAGGAACAACAGAAAGTTATGACCACAAAGCAATTGCAAGGGAGAGAGAGCAGTGCGTACAGCCAGCAGCCAGGGAACCATTAAGGCAAAGAGGGGGAGGCGATCAGGCATGCCTGTGCTTGGCAGGGAGAGGACACACTTTTGAGAGGTCTCAGAACCTCAGACTAGGGGGGACGCAACCATCCACGCAGGCTGTGTTTGCTGCCGTTTTGTTTTCCAGGTGACATTCCTCTCCTCAGCTCCCACCCCAGTCTTTGCTGGCCACAGCTCTAGAAGCAGCACCTGCACTTCTGATGCTTCCATCTCCTTTCTTTCCAAGAACCAATATGCCCCTCCAAACAGATATACGCCAGGAAAGAGAAAAGGAAACCAAGGAAAACGGATGGAGGGTGAAACGAAGCTCAGGCTATTGCCGGTGCTTGGCCTAAAGTCCTTGCACTGGCACTGGAGATACCTAAGCTGGCAACTCCTGAAGAGAGATCTCCGGTTTAAGGCTGAGCAAAGGGACACCTAAGCTCCTCACTGCAAGCAGAGAGGGCCCTACAGGATCCAAGCAGCAAAAATGCCCTTTACGCGCCCAGAGGTCTGTTAATTAATAATCAATTCTGTCTCCCAGATGGGATATTAAAGTCAAGAGCAGCGGAGGAAATTCTTCGGTAAGATCACACCCCAACGCGTGCTCAGCTGACGTTCCAGCGCCTAGGACCCCGCTCCCTGAGCTACCTGTCGGACGTTGCCCACACGCGCTCTGGGCCTGAAGCACTAAGGAATTCAGGTTGCTTGGCCTCCCGAGGAAAGGAGTCCGAGCTCCTTTTGTCTGCACACTTCCCGCTGGGCCTTTCCTCCCCACAAGGCGCACCTGCCCGCTGCTACGCTGACACGAGAGGCAGGGCTAGCAAAGCATAAGACT